CACTGCTGTGCTGGCAGCTGGCAGCCTGGCTTGTGGCTGAGCAGAGCTCCCCCTGTGGGAGTGCACTGACCACCAGGGGGCAGCTCCTGCATTGAGCATCTGCCCCGTGGTGGTCAGTGTGTGTCATAGTGACCAGTCATTCCCAGTGGTTCTGCTGTTGCAGTCAATTTGCATGTTACCCTTTTATTATATAGGATGTTTAAAGCTTCCTGCAGCTATTAGCCTCCATCTCTCCATCCTGTTATTGCTATGAGGAATGCAGTCCTGATGCCACAAGATCTTCCAATTTTTCATAAGAGAAGCCAGAAATTCAAATCAGGAAAAACTTCCATTTTCAAATGTTGGCAATTAAGAAACAAACAAACAATAAAACACTGTACAGTGCAGGCCAAATAAAATGTATCTGCAAACTGAATTTGGCCTTACAGTATGTAACCAGTGGTAGCTACACAGCAAGAATACCCTAAGACCAGAAGCCTCAGTAAGAAGTTCAAATATTTGCATCCCAGATCTTAAACACCCTAGGACTATTATACTCACATTTCATGTTGAAGACAGATTCTCCATGTAGTCTCCATGAAGACTAAATTTTTGGGTTAATTTTGTAAAACGGCCACTACTTTAATTTACTATTTTAAAATACACATTTTTAGAAAAAAAATCAAAATAATTAGTATTGCGGTGGCTGAATTTAGAGTTATAGTAGTAAATTAGAATTATAATATGTAGAAAATGTATATATATTAAAACTCATTTAAAAAAATATAATGTTTTACAAACTGTGTTAATTGGGTAAAATGAAGTGTCAATCAGCTGGGTCCTTAGCACCAGTTGAGCTCCTTCGCATCTCTAGATGAGATATCAGGAACTGGCCATCCTGATGGGACACCTTTCCCTTAACAACATGAAAATGGAAAAACAAACAGAGGGAAGCAGTGACAACAATGTTAACTGGCAAGTTATTTCTGTTACATAATATATAATAACAGTGCCAAAGGATTCTAAGACTCAGTACAATTTTCTTTACTGTTTTAGCTCTACTAAGTAGATTAGGTGGTTAAAAAGGATAAACTAGCAAGACCTTCTATTTGGAAACAAAATCTGCTGGATTAAAAAAGAAATGCTATATGGGGCAGTGCCCAAAGATGTAATCCCTTGTGAACAAGGTGGTAGAGTTTAAGATAAAGGCAGCCTGGCTTTATCAGAGCTGGATTTCACCACTTGACAACTGTGTGACTTTAAGCAAGTTATTTAACTACTCTGAGCACTATTCCCTCATCTATAAAAAAAGAATAAACACTAGATACTTTAATTCTCATTATGAGAATTATTATACATCTTAACTATGTTTTAATTCATTCTCTTAGCTGAAACTTGAATCCATCCACAACAACAGTTTAAAAACTTCTGGTAGAACAGCTGCACAGACAAGAGATCTCAACATTCCTCAAAACAGTTCTTTTTATCCTCACACTTCTATATTTTTCTCTTACTAAACTAAAATCAATTTCCTTGTGACTTCAACCCCATCAATCAGATTGTAGTTTAAATCTTACTAAGTATAGCTAATTCAAGCTTCACAAAGGTTGAGGCTGTTTAGTATTGAAGCCCCAGCACCTAGAACAATAAGCACATAGTAGGTGTACAATAATAGTTACAGATTGAGTAATACATTCTGTGCAGTAATTACTGATTGATCTTTGAAATGCCTTCTAATACAAAGAACACAAATGTGTACATTTCTGGAGGTGATCATTTAATGTTTAAGGTTTAAAAGTTGAAATATACATAACCAAATGCATGCTGTTTTTTAAAAATCCTTCAGATAAAGTAAATGAAAGCAATTTAGCTGTATTTCAAATGGTGAGGCTATTCAATGATAGATGATAAAGTTCCTTCAAAGTAATAGACCTACTATTAATGGCTTCATAACTCCTACTCATAATTTCCTTCAGATTTAACTGAATTCTAAGTTTTAAAAAAAACCTATTCTGCAAATAACCCCCAAATAATAAGTCAAATACTGACTATTCTGCAAATAACCCCCAAATAATAAGTCAAATTTTTATTACCTGAGTTGCCCAGAAAATATCAGCATCAATATTATGATAGAATATCAAAATCTGCAAAAAGTTTTCTCATGACTTTCTTAGCCTCACACTACTATAAACCTCTCACTACTTAAACACTAGAACTCATTTATAATTTAGTCACTTATGTTCCAGAGCTTAAAGCAGGTTCCATAAACTATGTTCAACTTCACAGAACAAGAAATCAAACACGGTGAACAACCAGTTCACCATCCTCTGCAAATCTATGGAAATATTTCCATAATATAGTAAACTTCTGCTACCTGATCGTTGTAGTTTTAAGCTGTTACTCTGGGCTATTAGCCTGAAACAAGTCATAATTAGTAAGGGAAATCTGCAACATACACAGGTCAATAACCCATCCTAAACCCAAACATAAAATATTTCTGAATTATCCGGGCCACTGATGCTTGAGAGTGATAGAAAATTAGTGATCTAGATTGAAATAGGCAACTTCCACTAACAGCACTAGGTAGGGCAAATACCAGATTGACATAATCTATAATAATAAAAGGGTAATATGCTAATTAGGCCGGACAGGTGGAGGACCTTCCGATGTCATTCCCTATGTCCTGGATGAAGCCCCCACAGTGGGGGCGATCAGGCAGGCAGGCAAGTGGTTAGGGGCGATGAGGCAGGTGAGCGGGTTAGGAATGAGCGGTCAGGATTGTGAGAGGGTGCAGGCCCGGCTGAGGGACCCTCTCCCCTGCCCCCTCCCCTTGTGCACAAATTTCGTGCACGGGGCCTCTAGTTTTATGATAAAGGACAAAACCCAAAAAAGTCAAACATTTTAATGAACACAAAATTAAAGGACAGAAAGTGAAATTAAATATTCAGCCATTTTTTAGAAGAAATAGCCATGCATGACACTTTATACTCCAACAACAACAATCCTTTCCAGACCAAAGTGTGGCCCTACAAAACTTCCTTTTCCTTTCCACTTCTCCCTATAGCATTAAAAACCAAAACAAAAACCCAAAACACCAAACACACAAAAACAAACCTTGTCCATTAATCAACACAGTATACTACATAAAATGAAGCCACCAGAAACAGGGGAGCTTTAAAAGTTAGAAATCACTACCTAGCACGAAAATACTACCTGCAGGGTGAGTCAGGTCCTGTGAGAGGAACTCACAGCCACAGGGGTGACACATGCGGGGCAGAGCGTGGGTCTGTGCTACAGAACCGACCCCCAAAGGGCAGGTAACATTCATACAACATGAACGGAGAACGACAATACGTCTCCCAACTCGCTTTCCTGGACAAGCCACTACCCTCTGCCCTGAAAGCTGTCATTGCAAGAGGCCTGCCAGTGGCAAACATAACAGTCCGGGGCACCAGCACCTTCTTCCTGCCGCACTTTGTGACCAGGAACAATTTCTCAACGTGGCTGAGGCGATGCTGCAAAGTGGCCTTAACGCAGCAACCACATACAGTTTCTCAACAGCCCCAGAGCCAACTCCTGGGGACGAGGGCGGCCTGACCTCCCTTCCACCCTCCATATGCTGCTTCCGCCCACACTGACAGCACCGTGCGCTCCCGAGGACACGCAAAGGGGTTTCCAGCCCACAGGAGTGCCCTTCCAGGAAGAGGCGTGCGCCCATGGCCTTGATCTAGGGCTCTGCCCAGGGCTGGGGAGACCCCTGGACCAGCGGGAGCTGGGGAGAAGCCGTGGCCCTTCCCGCTCTCCGCTGGCAGCCCCAGCCCGGGCCCCCCCAGCAAGGCCCCCGCCCCCGCCCCTCACCTGATCTTGTAACTCGGGAGCGTGTGCTTGCGCTTGATGACTTTCTTGAGCTGGTTGACGATGATGGAGGTGAGCTGGGGCATGGGCCGCCCTTCAAACTGGGAGCGCACCTCGAAGTCGATCAGCGGGTCCTCCACGAAGGAGAAGAACCAGTGGGTGAACGGCACGCGGGTGAGGACGAAGCGCAGCCTCCCCACCACCCGGGACAGCTTGACGAACAGGTAGGCGGACTTGCCGAAGACCAAGTCCACGTCGATGGCCAGGTGGAAACCCCCGTGGTACTCCACCTCCGCCTCGAAGGCCAGCTCCTCCGGGGAGGCGGCGGGCAGAGCCCCGCCCTCGG